TTTCTGCTTTACAAAAAGAGAAATGCCGGGCCTCTGGGCGCCCCGCGAGCAGCCCGCACGCGCCTTGCCGGCCGAAGCGGCAAGGCAATCCCGAACCCACTGAAAAAGAGACAGGCCAAACGGAAGCAGGAAGACGTAATTTATAGATGTAAAATATTTTTATTTGTAAATGCTGATCTTCTAAATCTGTTTCCACAAATTCCAAAACCCATAACACTCTGTATACTTCAAAAAATTCTTTTTTTTGTGTTGTTTTTGTTTTTTTTTTTTGCCAACATTAGATACTATTATACAGAACAGAAAAAAAACTGTAGGACAAATACTGGTAGGATGTTGGAATATTGTACAAGAGAAGAAAAATATTCAAGAAACAATTTCATACAGCTATTTATCAAGAGAAAAATATATACAATTGATTTATTCTGTAAGATAAAAATACATCATGCCATATACATTACAAGTTCAGAACTGTATTACTGAATATACCAACAGTTTACAGTCCACTTTAATTGTGCACACAAAAAAAAACTTCATTTTTTTTTTTATATTTAGCCTGTGAAGTGTCAGTACCAGAATTTTAAGTACAAAATAAAAAGCTAACCTGGTTCAAAATGCTGATTAAATTTCTACAAGCAAACACAAAACAGTGTTTATTTTTTTAAGGAAATGTAAACAAAACAATCCATACAAACACATCTTTAAATTACATTTTCCAAAACCCTATTGCCAGAGTCCTGCAGCTGCAAGCACATTACATCTAATTTTTTTCCTTGTTTTCCTTTTAAGAAGGCTATCGTATCAGACTTAAGCTCCATCTACATGATTCTATGCTGTTTACATGATTTAACCTGGGCTGAACAGTCACCTAATCTTGACTACTTTTGCAAAAGAGAAAACAGTGTTCAGCCTCTATTTTGGGTGGTTTTAGCAGTTATTCACAGTTATCACAAATTGTAAGCACAAAAAACCTGACTTAAGAAATAGGGATGCAACAATATAATACAAATAAAATTAATCAGTCTAAATTACCCAAACATCTACAAAAGTCATAGTTGTAATATACACGCCTTGCACCAGGCTTAAGGTTTACTTAAAAAACAACAACAAAAAAAAAAATAAACTAATAGACCACAGTTGAGACTGCTTTAAACATTAAAAAAACAAAAACAAAAACCCCCTTCTCTTTAAATTGAGATTTTGGTTATTCCATAATTGTAATCGCATGTCTGTTAATACATGAGATCATATTGTAACATCCCTATTGACATTTTATAATAAGCACCCGAACTGCTGCAGAGTCTGGTAGCATTTGGTCAATAACTATTTTTATACTGTATTTTTTCTCAAAATATTTACACTTTTGTACAAAGTAACAGAGTTTGTTAGTTCTGCAGGTAACAGCAGCAGCTTGGCTTTCTTCTAACTTTCTTTTTTAAAAATAGCTTCATTCACTTATTCAATAATAAATACAAAAAGGTTCTCTTATTTTACAGAAATCAAAAACTACAATAAACTGACTCATGGAATCAAGTATTTAAATGTATTTTAGTGCAAGTTATTTTTTCCCTTAGCTCTATCCCTAAGGAAGTCGTTTCAGTACATTCCTTGTTCAGTGGTGTCTACTTTTATTTAAAATTTTTCTTTAATTAGAGGGCCTGCCCCTTTATCAAATAAGGCTGTGGCCAGCACTTTGGACTTCTCCCTTTCGCTGGTGATTTCAGTCTTACATTCATATATGCCTACCTGCCCTTCCGCAGGTCAGCCATCAGTTCTTTGCCCAAGTTAAACAGTTTCTCCTTAGTGAGCTCGAAAACAAAAGTGCTGGACCATTCTGTTAATTCAGTTTAACCTCCATACGTCTGGAAAGTTAAGACAGCTTCAGATTTTGCCGGCTTGCTTCTGGTGCTTGTTTGTTATTTTTTTTTCTTTTTTTGTTCATACTTGACTAGAAATCTGTACTTCCAGAAGTGATTTTTTTTTTTCCCTTCAAAAAGGCAACGATTTTCTGTCGACAAAATCAAAAATGTGAATCACTTCTTCCCAGGGACAAGCAACCCTCAAAAACAGCAAGGAATGCATTCTAGTTCATCCATTTTCGGCAGTTTACAGCTCCACAGTGACATGGAATCTTGTGCTGGTCATCTTCAAAATCAAACTTATAGTCATAGCAAAGCTGGAAGAAGATTCAGGAGAACGGTTATGAAACACTGGGGCTTTACTACATCTTTCCTCGTACCTAGGATTCTAAACAGTAAAATACATGCGATATTGCATTGCTAGGAACTGTCAAGATTTAAACTGGAAGAGGGGAAAGGGAATGTTGTTCTTCCCCACCCTGCGTAAGCACAAACACCTCGTGCTAGTGGCTATAAAATTATGTAAGTATCTAGAAATAAAATGTAAGTAGCAACAGCTAAGTAAAAATGAATGAGACAGCCCTACCTCCTCCCCTTTCTGTATTCTCCTGCTGGAGCTAATGATAATTTTGTGTCCTCTCTCAAAAGTTACCACCTCAGCCACACAGTTAGGTGCACACGAATGGTTGATATACCTATGAAAACAGAGTTTGGAAAAGGTTATCTTTTAAGAAGATGCATCACTTGAGGTAAATCTAAAGCAAACCTTAGAACGACCTTAGCTTCAGGGGTGCACTGGCTTTCCAGATATAATTACATTACTCTGTACTTGCTTCTTTATCTAGAAAACGTCAAAAAAAATCAAATGTTAAAAAGGTTCCATTCTTTCTTCACAGCTGTACATCTGCCATCATATGTAATCAAGGACGAATAAAGCTAACGAAGAAGAACACAGTATTTTAGTGGGCTGGTCCAAAGACTCAGTGTACCAGCTCAGAGGATAAAGGCCACTGAGAAATGCACGCAACTGAGGCACGGCTAATTGCCCAGCATGAGATCAGAGATCTCTCCAGAGCCACCCACCTGGCAGGGCCTCCCGTCAAGGTAGCATCAATGACGTGATCGTTGTCAATGCGGAACATGTACACGCCACGATTCTGAAAAACAGAATTAGGGAAAAAAAATGACGCCTGTAGAGTTTAAAGAATAGCCAATGATTAAAACAAAACAGCGCCACGGGATATTTCCAAGTGTTCTTCTGCATTCCTGATCGGACATAGCACACTGGCTCACTAGTGAGTCATACACTTCATCTGACACGTGGGATACTGCCATTCACCTCACTGTTTTATGAGGGAATGGATGGGTCATAAACATAAATCTCTGGTGAATTAATACTGCCCTCCAGTAGCGTACTAATTACGCGGATTTCTTTACTTACCGCCCTCCATCTAGAATCTTGAGGCGCTTCACAAATGCTTTTCAACTGTTACAATACCTCTGTGCTACACAAAAAAGCTTGCTTTAAATTTTAAGGAGTACTCGGTACAAATTGAGGTCCTGACATCTCTGTAAGAGCTCTCTTTTTGTCCTCCAGGAAAGAGGATATATATTACCTATTTGACTATGGTGCTGTGAGATTTATTAAACATTTAGGCACTCCGAGAGCCTTTGATAAGAAACACTGTAGGCACCCGTGTTTATATTTTTAGCCTACTGCATTTACAGCAGAGCAGCAGACAGAATCCAGGAGACCTGACTCCTTCCTATTACCCTGCTGCAGCCATCAGTGAGCGCGGCCCCCTCATCAGCCATGCTTTTATCAAGAGAAAGGCAGCATTTGTTTCATTGTATGAGCATTTGACAAGGGAAGCAGAAAAAAGCAACAGTGAGCAAATACTACTCAGTACCTGAGATTCATAAAGCTTCTCCTTCCTGTTTGCTACCTCATTCCGGATAATAGTTCCGATATATTCAATGACCATAGTGTGCTTTTCAATGTCTCTAGCAGCATATAAGCCCAGGCCCTACAAAAAACATGCTGTGATTTAGAATTTCATAATAAATTTACATTGACACTTCATTCTTCTGGGTGCCCCAAAACCATTCCTGGAGAAAATCATGCAAAAAGTAAACTTCCCACAAAGAATAAAGTAGCACAGTTCAGTAACTACAGCTGTAACAATCCATTCTTAAGGGTGCAAAACCCAGATTTACATTAAGTTTTTAAGGTGCAAGAAAACATACTGCAGTATTTGGCTTCCATCTAGGTGAAAAAACAGCCTTCTCACTATACCTGCTTGAGCTGCTTAAAGATTATAAATGCACTGAAAAGCAGAGGAGGCCTTACAAGACTGGAAGAACGTAACAAGAACTCAACACAGCAAAGTTAAATCCAACCTAGAATAAACAATAACTATGTTCATACATAGCAAGATACACTGTACAGTTTTTGCAAAATAGTTTGTGCAGCAAAACCACCAAGAGAATTATACAGAGCAATGAATTCATTTTATCTCATTTTATGAACGCAATCAAGTATTTAAGTCTTCAGGCTAGTCTCATGCCATTCGACTCAGCTTGGTCTGAACACATCACATCTCCAATGATGCTGCCTGTCTAAATATTCATATCTTTATTACGTTTCACTGATTTCTTTTGAGAAACATACTAAAAAGACCTTGAAAGAAAACAAAAGAACCCATTTATTTTCTACACAGCTATAACAAATTAAATCGGAAGATAGTTATTTTAACTAAAAAGAAATCTTATTTGAAGTCTGTGGAAGTGATTTACTACATACAAGTTGCCAATTTTGGAAAGAGAGTTGAAGGAATTTAGCAACTGCATTTTTTTTCAAAAACGTTATTTCTATATAAATTTCCTAATACCAGAACTGACCTGAATCCGCGAGCGAGCTAGATACACATTGGACTTCCATTCAGTTTTCATTTTACGGTACTGAGAGGACTTGGAATGGACGAACTGCTTACTGTAAGGCGCGTTCAGTTCTCCCGTAACTGTGCTCTGAAATGACTTCGACGTGCTGGTGCTATTCAAGGTGTGAGGCCTGTAGGAATTGGGCATGTAACAGGAAATACAAGAAAAACTGAAGATTTCTCTGAAAACAGCCACAAAACCAATTAAATCTTTTTTTTTTTTTTTTAAAAAGACATACACACACTTAAAGCCAGCTAGCAGAGACAACAAAGCAATTCCTTTGATTTGGGCATGCACATACACAGCCAAAGACGACAGGGTTTGTAAGCAGCAGACGAAAGCACAAATAACCCTAAGCAGCCTATAAACCCTGGGCTGTACTATGTGAAATTAAAACAAAATACCTTAACACAAACCTCTTGACATGGGTACTCATTTTAGGCTCGGCACGGGCACAGCCCGTGGGGTTGATAGCAAGAGGAAGTTCCATTAAGGGGTTTCGGCCATAGCGGAAAGTGTAGTTCTCACAGGCCTCAACCCCTGGAAGCTGCAAGAAAACAGACAAAAACAAAAAAGTCCAAGTAATTATATGCCAACAGCACATAACAAAATAGTCACTTTCCACACTTCTTCCTGTCCCCCTTCTCACGCGTGTATAAAACATGCAACAGTTTGGGCTGATCCAGCAAGAGCTGCCGTGGTGAAGACTCACCGATTCAGCAATCCTTGCCACTGCAGAGACCGTCAAACCAAAGAGGTCTTCACCCTTCAAATAGCCAGGAAACAGCTGGAGCATTTCAGATTCTTTCCTTACAGAAGCAACAGGCTCCAAGATTTTATCCCAAACACCTACAGAACCATACAGAGTAAGAATTACAATGATCAACGAAATAAAAAAGGTCCATGGTACTAGCTTTAAAACTAAAGATACCAGGAACCAGAATTCAAAACTGGAAAAGCAATCTTATCGCTCGTTATATAAACAAACAGGCTAGGGTTTAGAAAGTGAAAGGGGAATCACTTGACGAGTTATTGTTTTTTCTTGAACAAGTTCCAGGCACGATGTTTCTGCTGTACCTCGATTCCCAGGAAGGCAGCTTTTGTATTCGTAGCATGAAAACCTTCAGTTCCCTAACAACGTGCGATTCTCCTCAGGCAATCAGGCAGACAAGCTTCTAAAGCCACTGAAGAGATTCTCCTTAGAAAACCTGCACAGTGCAGATTTTTCTAAAAAGTAAACTTTATTTTCTACTTCCATAAATTGCTTGCAGTCAGCACTCAATCATGCCCAGGCAATTGTCCAGGCAGTGGTTTAACTAACTGCGCTATGGGTGCTGATACACTCAGCCTTGCTCTGCCCAAAGTGGTTAAAACCCAGAGCGTTACCAGCCACGCTGACAGGCCCAAGTTCCTCGCACCTGCCCTGTATGTTTACAGTCCAATGTACCGCCCTTGCCACCCCCACAGACAACAAACCCAGGCCCCAGGCCCTGGGAATGATTTGGTCAACTCACTGTCTGTTACTTGCAAACTTCAGCACAGCTGGTTCAAAGATAATTGTGTACTAATAACGTCAAAGTCCCTTTTCAGAAAAGGAAACCTACACTAATATTTCTACTGTTTTAATTAATTTTTAATACTCCATCTAGGTTTCCCTCTGTGAGCTTATTACAAATACCCTTCTTTTATCTGCAGCTCATCCTATTTCCTCAAAGCTGTCCTCAGTCTTCACAGCATTGTATTAAAAACGCACAGTACTAAATAAAGTCATTCACGATAGAATTTGCCTCCTTGGAAGCTCAGTATAAGCATTACGTTGCAATTTCTGTATTAAAGTAACATGCAAAACTTGACACGTTTATCATACATATAATAAATAACAGTAGTATTAAAACAAATGGTGGATCCACAAAAGTCATCGCTTTAGTTTACAAAATTTACCTTTTGGTGTTGCGTCTGTAAGAACCAGATCTTCATGGCCTTGCTCCACAACCTTGATGACAAATAACGGAAGCCCATCCTTCTCCTCAATCGAACAGAGATAGCGACAGCGTCTGTTTGCATATCTCATGCTCCAGTACAAGCGGCTGGCCTCGTAGCCCACGGGAAAGAGCGCTTTTGAGGAGTGGAAGGCCTGCATCTGCTGAGGCAGCAGCTGACCGATGGCATGGAAAATCAGGCTTCCTACGCGGAAAGTGTGGTCACGTTCTCCTCGCTGCACTATGCTAGCAATCTGCCGCACTTCATCCCGCTGAACGTAGACCCTCCTGAAGACTGCAAAGTAACTAAGTTCTTGCTCATGAGTTCCCTTTGGCTTGTGCATGGGGCAAAGCATGGTCTTGTCTTTAAAAAACATGCATTGTGCTTTAATGGCACAGGTAAAGTGATAAATATTGGTGCACCTTAATCTGTGACAACCGCTGGTGGCACCCATTTTGTGACAAAACATGCATTTCATTTGCAAGCCTCTTCGCAGTGCTAGTTCCACGTTTATTAAGGCACCAGCTTGTGTCTCATAGACTTCTGTAGACCAAAGAGCACAGTTCAAATGGACCCAAAGGTCTAAATCAAGGTTAAGAAGCCTTGCTGGTCCATCAGTTAATCCATCACCTTCCTCATGACAGAAGCAACATTTCCTATAGTCTTTAGGCACAGGATCTGGTTTAAGGGTTGTGCCCAATTTTTTAAGAAATTCATCTATTTCTTCTTCACAAGGAGGTTTGAATGATCCTTTAGGAATCACAATCTGAATGCTCCACTTCTTCCATTTCATTCCTTTCCATTTCTTACTTGGAGGGCGACAGTCATCGAGACTACTGTGTATTGCTTTTAACCTAGGTTTTAGTTTCACTGTTACCTTAAGCTCATCCGGTTTTGCCTCTACCTTGGCTGCCTCGAATGCAGGAGGGAACATGATCGGGGGTGAAGAAGGTGGAGAAACTTTTTCCTGCAGCTGAGGCAGACAGTGGACATCCAAAGTGGAGATGTTGTTGCTGTACTGATGGAATGCTTTAGGCGGCCTTTCCTTCATTGGCGACTGTGGCAAAGATGGAACTGATTCCTGATAAATCAAGAGAAAATTCTTTAAAAAAAATCCCCAACCATTAAACGTCCCCTGAAAACATTCTGAGGTCAGAACTGAATTGAAGAGATTATTCAGAATGCCTGAAGTCACGATGCAGCAACGGAATAAATAAGATGGAAATTACCTTGACCCATGCTACCACAACTTGGGCTGGGCTACAAAGTACTACAGTTTTCCCAAGCCACCTTGAGCATGGCTCCCTTTAATACAGGAGAGGAAACACAAATAATCCTTTCTTTAGGTTTCGAGAAAAAATAATCAAATGCCTCAGATAAGGTAACGGAAAGATTTAACGCTTAGGTATTTTTAGAAAGTTTGTATAGCTTCTTCCCCCAACAGGTTACAACACAAACTAATCTAAAATACGGGTCACAGAATTAATTGAAAGAATAAGAAATGTGTTATTTGGTAGAGGGGGAAGACTGGGAATTAATGTCATATATTTTTCATGGAAATAAGTGAGGAGTAAATTCCTGCAGGGCTCTGGATTAGTCATATACCTTGAGGTATTAACTATTCAGTCACATGAAACAAGAATTAAACCTGGAGAAATTGAACAAGGAAAGAAAAAAAGAGAAAACAAGAAGAACAATGGAAGTTTAGATTCAAAGCGCTTAATGCGCTTTGTATGATTAATCTTGAAAGAGTAAATGAAAGGATTAAAGAGGCAGAACATGAAATTTAATTAACTTAATTATGTACACGGCGATGCACTTGTGCAGAAATGACACCCAGTTTTAGTAATAAGTGAACATGAGTTACATGGCACACTAAAGGGATGTGAATGTCACCATATACTTTCTCATCCATCATTTTTGTTGTTTCTTCTGAAAAAATAAGTAGGATGCATTTGAAGGAAGGCTGCATATTAAACAGTGTGAGAGAGCACTAATTATGTAACGCTTGAAGCATGTGGCCAGTTATTTCCATCAGTTTAGGGAAAAAAGTAACATCTGAACTAGAAAAAGCAGAAACTATGCTAGCTTAAAGAAACTGTCAACAGCTTTTATCTGTGAAATGAAAATAAACCTATCCAGACCATTTAGTCTTGAATGAAGACTATTTAATTGTAATTATTAAATGAAGAGAGATACATGCAAGTGGTTTTACCAACGTTAAGTTGTTAGTGTGATTTGAGAATCTACTTGAGGATCTACTAAGCTCATACTGGCACCATCCTCACCCTAAGACACTTAACTGGCATCTGCCTTTGAAAGTAAAGGAATTTGAACATAACAAGAAACAATGCCCTGTGCAGAAAATACTGAGTTTCTTTAAGTTTTGTTGGATATCCCTCCTAGTGCCTGTAGGCAGAAAACGGAGGCACAGTATTCTGGGCACCTGGGAAAAACTCCTGGCCTAATCCCACTTTCGATTAAGCAAATTTCTTTTAAACGCCGTGCTATCTCCAATACTTACAAAGCTATTTTCCCTTTTCACTGTCAGCCAGCAGACTCTTTATTAATGCTTTGGTAATTAATACTTGAAAACGGCAACTTTGTCCAAAAAAAGGAATAACCGAGTAAGATTATTTTTCCAGTTACACTAAGAAAGTAAAGTCCTTTTGCAAACTTGCAGTTCAGTTTGCACAGCTGTAAGTTTTTTACTGTACATAAGCCAAACAAAAATGCGGAAAACCACCCCAAAAGATGTATCGGGGGTTTCTTATAACGCCCAGAGAACTTAAAGGTGTAGATTGCTTTTCTGAGATTGGGTCTTCAAAGCCTGCAGGGACAGCAGAAGACAGTTTGTGTTCTGTTGTACACCTCTGTTAGGCAGAAGGTTTTGTAAATATGAATTCTACTTCATGCTGCTTGTTCCAAATTTCAGTATCCTAATATAGAGTAATTCATTTATTAACTTCTAAAACAAAGTACAAACATCCCTCAACCCATTTCTGTTCTTCAAAAAATCGCTGCAATCTCTGCTCACTTGGTCTACCGAAGTTTGACACTTACTTTGCTCTCTGAGTTTTTTGCTTGCACAGCTGCTGAATAAAGAACAAAGCAGTTGTTGCTACAGAATACAATGTCCTTCATTTTATCAGAGCCTTCTTGGGAATCCTGGGAATCAAACACATTATTAGAAGTGTATTTTGAAAGCATTCTTCACACAGTAAGTTAATGAAACAAATCTTCCAATCTGGGCTGGAAACTTTGTCTACCTCTTTATTTGTGGAAAACTTGTGAAATAAGGAGCACTACTGTGATATAAATACTTGATTATTTGACAGATCTAGCGTTAACACCACCTACAACCTTGCTCTGGAGCACTTCTTGCCTTGAACAGAAGTTTAACAATCAAATTAAAGCATGCTGTGCCGTGCACCCATCTGCTCCACAGGCACACTTGCTAAGTAGAAATCCATTTTATCTCTGGATGACAAAAGAATGTCTCATTTCAGGCTAGTCAAAGACAGATCATACTGTTTTATCTACTGATCCATCTGCAAGACTTTACTCTGAATTCAGTGCTTTTATGACTACACCACCACATTACTTTTATATATACATTTTGACTATATATCTTTGTCGCATAATAACCACCTCAATCTTATTTAAACAAAGACCAACAGTGCCTTTTTAAATGAATGACAATTCCCAGTGTAAATATTCTGTATTTGCATATGGCCATAAGGAGCTAGCTGGGATATTTCTTTACACAAAGACAAATAATGAAAAATACAAGAAGGTGAGACTT